TTTCAAGGAAATGTTTTTAATGCAATGAATTTGATGGCAACATGAGATCACTGGTAACAAGTATAGTTTAAGTAAAACCCAATGTTACAGTAACAATAACTTTGCAAGAAAAAAACAACCTTGCAAAGGTGACAGTTTGTAGCAACACTCTGGGAAACAGGATTTGAGACTTGTTTTAACCAGTAATGCCTATACCACGTATGGAGAGTAGAATGAGGAGCTCATTTGGGTAACTCAGGAAGAATAACCTTTTACTTTCTCTGTCTGACCTTGTCAAAATGATATGGATAGGAAATAGCTTGCTACAGCCTTCAATATGCCACTAGATTTGGCATTATAAAACAGAATTATTTTTGGAATGTTTTAAACTGAAAGTTCAAGTTTACACTTTATAGAATTTATCACTGTTTTCTACTTTGGAATCAATGAATTTCTGATTTGAATGCATCATCTTATTGGTAGATTTATGAAGTATTCTACTTCATAATTTTCTGTAGGTTAGAACGCTAACCTGACATCTGTAGTTAAGAGTTTTCACTCACTGATTCAGATAACTGGAGGACCCGCTGCTCTGAGGTCTGCCTGTGTGGCTCTTTGTGGCTCTACACCTTCTCAGCTCTGGTCAGCTGCACCAAGGTTTCCATTGAAATATTTCTCCCTTGACACTCCCTTGTACAACTAATATGATTTTTTAGTACCCAAACTGCCCCCTATGCTTTTCCCATGAAGACTGGATAGTAAAGTCTGTAGAGTTTGCAGGTCACGTAGCCTGTGTTGTGAGTAAACATCTCTGCCCGGCTACCGTCAGACCAATCAGAGACTGTCTACATACCCTTCTGTCTACAAAATTTGGTTTTTGTGCCCTGAAAGTTCAATTTCACATACTTTCCATGTGTCCTGAAATAGCATGTTCTTTTAATGCTTTTCAACCATTTAAAAATATGGAGACATTTCTTAGCTCACCGACTGTCCAGTATAATAACAGAATCGGGGAGAGATCTGACCAGAAGGCCAACTCAATCAAGCCTGCTATCGTTGGTACATTAATCAGTTTTCCATTACTGTACCAAGTACCTGAGATAAATTTACTTAAAAAGAGGAAGGGTTTGTTTTATCTAACAGTTTTTCAGGTGTCAGTCCACGGCCAGTTGATTATTGCTTTGGATCTGTGGCAAGTTATGAGAGAGACATGGAAGAAAGCCTTTTGCTTCAGAAACTACAATTAAAAAAAGAAAGAAAGAGGTGGAATCCCACAAATTTCCTTGAAAGCTCACTCCTAATAATCAGAAGACTTGCCTCTAGACCCTACTTCTTAAAGTGTCCAATAGCTCCAAGCTGAAAACTAAGTATTTAGCAGTTTTCATGCACAGTGTGCAATGATTAGTTACAATGCAGGATTTTCTAAAGTCACAAATCTGCTTTGTGAGGACATGGGTTTACTAAATATATGTTTCTATTGTGAAATTAGGTGAGCATTTGTACTGATGCTCTGAGTAGTACAGACAAACTAGTGTATATAATTCACTGGGTTGGGTCCTATAGCTAATAGAATTCTAGTTAATTTTACTACTTACATCATTATATTATGGATTGAAATAAAACTCTAAATGGAATTTTTCATAAATTTGCTGCACAACACAAAGAATTTAGCATATTATATGGCATATTCTATCTTACCTCATGAAAACGGTAAGATTTGTTACATAGATCTTTTAATTTTTTGGAGTGTGGTACTAGGATTTGAATTCAGGGCTTCATTAAAATTTGTTTTAAGCTAGGCATCAGTGGCATAGGTCACTAACTCAAGCTACTCAGATGCCTGAGAAATGAGGATCACGGTTCTAAGGCTGCCTGGGCAGGATAGTCTGTGAGTCTACTCTCTTTTTTTTTTTTTTTTGGTTGGTCGTGGGTCTTGAACTCTGGGCCTGGGTGCTGTCCCTCAGCTCTTCAGCTCAAGGCGAGCGCTCTACCACTTGATCTACAGCGCCACTTCCAGTTTTCTGATGGTTTATTGGAGGTAGGAGTCTCACAGTCTTTCCTGCCAGGGCTGGCTTTGAACTGCGATCCTCAGATCTCAGCCTCCTGAGTAGCTAGGATGACAGGCGTGAGCCACCAGCACTGAGCTGTGAGACCACTCTCTAATTAACCATCAGAAAGTCTGCAAGTGGAGCTGTGACTCAAATGGTAGAGTACTAGCCTTAAGCAAAATAGCTCAGGGACAGCGCCTGGGCACTGAGTTCAAGCCCTAACACCCATACCTCCCAAAAAGCGTGAATTTTGTCAGCGTCCATCATATGGGTATGTGGAAACATCATAATGAAATCCTTTTTTTAATTAATATATACTAACAAAAATAGGTCTGTGAAAAAATGTTTTAATTGCTATTCGGACACTAAACACTAAGGAGTGAACAAAAATACCCGATACGAACTGCCTGATGACAAACCGTGTGACTCTGTGTCTTGGACCCCAGGACAGCACCCCCCCCCACGGGGTGTGACTTGCTAGGAGGACTTGCAGGACTGGCTGTGTGGTCAGGTCAGGGTCAGATCCCTGCTCTGCCTCGGGAGGGGGTGCGGGGAGCAGCCGCACAGGATGCCAGGGGCTTGGAGCCTGGGATTTCATGGGGAATGGAATCTGGTCATGGGGGGCTCTCTGACCAACACAAAGCACGATCCCAGACTCCCTGAGAGGAAGAAGGAATTGAGTTTGAAGAGCAAAGTGCCTTCCTTCTCCAGACGGCTCCATCTGCATGCCACCCACAGCAGTTCCTTCACAGCCCCAGCGCTCAAATGCCAGCCAGCCCAGGCTGACTATAAACTTTTAACAAGAGCAGCTTCAGGGCTGCTGGGACTCTGTGTGCCCTAGCTCCCGCTGACGCAGAGGTGAGGGCTAATGATCTGTGAGTTCAAAATCCGAGGCCTCCAAAGGTCTGGGTTAAGTGGCTGCTGTTGAGTGGCTCTGTCTTCTCCAGGTGTAGCTCAGCTTCACACATTCTGCGTTTTCTCTAGACTAGAGCAGTTGTGCGTGCAGGTGTCCTTTGTGTGTGTGTGTGTGTGTGTGTGTGTGCGCGCGCAAGCACGAATGTGGCATGTGTTCTGTTGTGTGCATGCGTGTAAGTATATGTGAGGCTTGTGTGGTGTATAGATGTGGTGCATTGTGGTGTCTGTGTGAATGAACATGTGACTAAGAGTCCTGTGTAGATGTGTGTGAGCATGTGTATATGCGCACACGTGTACATGCATGCAAGTGAAGGTGGCTCTTGCTCCTGCACAGCTTCTCTGGCATATTCACTATTTTCTGCTGCAAGATGCCAGCTGCTGTGAGCCGATTGCTCGAGCTGACCCTTGGGGACCCTTTGGCCCCTGGGACTTAGTCACAGCTCAGTTGCAAGTGTCTGGTACCACAGACCCTGCTCCTCTGAACCTTCCCCATTCAGTGCCAGACACCCCTCAGCCCTCTGCCCATCTCCCTAGGTCCTTCTGCTCCCGTCCGCAGAGACCCAGCTCAGCACTTCCCTCCCTCCCTCTGCGGCCCTCTTCCACGCTGGACTGCCAAGGCCGACACCCGCTCACTTCCAACTCTCCTCAAACTGTCATCCTCCTGAGCCTGGAGTCCCACTTCCAACTCTCTGTTGGCCCCAAAGTGCTTTTACCTCTCCTCTACTTAATTCCATTTAATTGGCGCCTATGAAAGATGCAGGGTTTTAACTTCTGAGCTCTGAAGGTGTGACTGGGTCTGTAAAATTCCGTTTTCACATTTGCTTCTGAGCAGGCGAATCTGCCCTTTGTCTCTAGAACATTTTGGCATCTTGGCAAAGTCCGGCAGGCACAGAGACTTTCCCACTTCTCCAGCCTATTGCTCATTTCTAGAAAGAACAGGCGCTGGTGTCACAGGCTGCTGTGCCCCCCAGCCGGAGGTGGCTGCCAGAGCTCCCAAGGCCCAGGGGCAGGCATGCGCCCCACACTGCCCCGAGGTTTTTGGTGAGTAATTTCCTTATATCCATCGTCATTTACAATCAACAATTAAAAACACAATGAACTTAAGAAATGTACCTAATTAAATTTTTGAACAATTACATATATCAGAGGAGGAAACTACCCTGAAAGATAGAGAAGATAGAGATCGATTGCATCTGCATTTCTTGGCAATTTTTCTTCACATCCACCTAGGAACCCAGGGTATTCTTCATAACGAAGAACAAGAAATGATAGTCACCGTACACTATTTAGTTTGGCTGTGGATGTTTGTTTGAGGATTTGGGCTATTTCATAGAACTGTGTTCAAACCATCTACAAATAAAATACACAGAACTCTTTGTGCATTTGGAGCCATCATAACGGTTTAGAAACTTAGACAAAGTTATGAAACAGAGACCTGGAATACTGTCACCAAGCCTCTTTTTGACAGTAATGTACTAAGTGACCCATTCCTCTTAAGTGTGTTTTTCCCCTGATTTAATACAAAGACTCCTGCTGTTACTGGCCTTTTTATTCCTCGGGTGCTCCGAGCCTTTGCTGCGCGTGTCTCGGGTCTGCCACTCCAGAGGTACGGGGAGGCCACAGTGGACACACAAGGTCTGCCCTGCAAAGCCCATGTCTTACGGGATGCAGACGCCCATCCGCCAGCCATGCCACTGCGCAGGGATAGCTGCTGTGAAGCAAAGGGGAGAGGCCGGCCGGATGGAGAGATGAACTTCCTGGGAAGCCCACATTTCAACAGGACCCTGGGGGAGGAATGGGAGTGGAAAAATGACATCTCTAAACCCAAGTGCCTAGTAGACGTATATATTTATGATGATAGTTTTGACCTAGCGGATCTCGCGAAGCGTCTGGAGAGGCCCATGTGGATGTGTGGATGTGCATGGAAAGGTGGCAGGACTGCTTGCTTTCTTGTCTTACCACCGCACCATGCGAATGGAAAGACACTAGAAAATATGCGAGCGAGTACATTTACATTATAATGGGGCAACAACACGATGATGTCTTTTCTTTTCCAAGGGTCCATCTTGCTGGGAAGACGTCTTAATTCCAAGCCGGATGCGAGGTGAATGCCAGTCCCCAGACTGTGCCGGCACGCGAGCCGTGAGTACCTGAGCAGAGCCTTCTAAACTCTAGTGTTTACCAAGAAACTAAAACAGAGACAAACATGCCCATCGAGTTCACCCTGGGGGATAATATACACATGTATTCAGAACATTCACAGAAAGTTCTCCCTGTAGCATTGCCTTCCAGTGTCACTTCTCTACTGAAAACTACTTTTGGTGATGTGCATGCACCTGTGTGCACCTGCACGCGTGTAAACACACACACACACATACATCTCTCTCTCACACATACACACACCTCTCTCTCACACACACACACATACCCCTCTCTCTTTCTCTCTCTCTCTCTCTCTCTCTCTCTCTCTCTCACACACACACCTCTCTCTTTCTCTCTCTCTCTCTCTCTCTCTCTCTCTCTCTCACACACACACACACACACACACACAGAGTCTTCACTCTTCCAACTTTAACAGTCAACACAGCAAGTGTCTGCAACCCCAGAAAGTCTAGGAATTTCTCCCAGCGCCAGGCTAGCACTCTGCAGTGGAGACTACTGAGTGGCCTCTAACAGAGTTCTGTTCTGACACCATCTTCCTGGAGACCGCTTTCCGTGCCATAGGACCAGGACTCTGCTCCAACCTACCCCTTCCTCACATGCCAATCCCAGTACCACATTTCCCCTCTGCTTTAAATCAGGGTCCCCACAGCCCCCATCTCTGTTTGTTAGGGTGACCCAGAGGGGCACAAGAACACCCTTATTTTCCACTTTCTGGCTTATTTACAAACAATCATCCAAAGAACACAGCTGAGGAGAGGCACAGGGCAAAGCAGAGCTTGGGTGGGGAGGGGCCTGTGTCTCCCCCTTGGGGTCCCTCTGGCTACCAGAAGCCTCCCTGCCCCCACCCTGTCCTCGGCGGTGCACATGCCTTTGCTACTCAGGCGTGACTCAAGCCATTGTAGTCATTGCTCACCCACTGAACCTTGAACTCCTCTGGCCTCTGGATATTGGACAGTGGGTTGATGGTGCCAACTCTCTTAATTCTGCCCTCGTCTTTCTGGTAGCTGGCCCCAGCCTAAACCTTCCTACGGCTCCCCGCCACCCGCCAACTCGTTAGCCTACCAAAAATACATTCCAGGGCCCCAAGCAGCCGAATGGCCAGCATCAGGGACCCAGACAAAATGTCCAGCGCCACACAGTTTCCCAGGTGACTTGCTGAAATGTGTCAACTCAGACTTTCTTACAAAGTGTTAGTTGTGGGCAGAAAAGAAGACACTACGGGAAAGGGCTTGTTCTGAGCCTGCCAAAAGAGAAAGAAAAGAGATATAACATCAATCTTATTTCCCAGTGCTGATATCTTTTATTTATATTCCATATCATTCAGAGCTTTCCTTTCTGCTTTCTCTCTTCCTACTTTCTTTGGCAGTTTTCTGACATGGTAGACTATTAGAAAATGTGTTGTGGCTGGCCAGCTATATAACTGAATCACCAGCCCCTGTTCTTTGTAACTTTTCTCTCTCTGTAAGCATATGCCATATGCTTCACAGAGAACAGATGCTTCTAGAAACGGACCCCAAGCTCTGAAGTTATTTTAAGAATAATTTTATGATTATGGTTACGTTTATTGCTTGTATTTTGTGTACTTTTTACCTCAGAAATCTTTGGGTCCAGCCCACTCTGACTGCCTATCCTTTCTGAACTGTAAATACTATCATGGTGCCAACACAAATGTCAGTGTTAGTTCGCAAACTGTCACAGCCAGCTGGCAGCTCATATCTCCTCTAAGGAACAAAGTCTGTCAGCAGCAACAGGTACAGTGTTTGAGTTAAATCATTAGAGGAGCCTTCCCTTGCCAGTCTGCAGGCTGATGGCAAGGGAACCAAGATAGCAGCGGCAGGGAGCAGTCACACACGCATTCCCCTCAAGCTGGCGAGGGACCGGGCACACACACTCATTAACGCAAATTCTGAGGAGAGAAATCCTGGAGAAAAATAATGATGTGCGTGTCAATCACGGATATCAAAGCATAATACAATCTGTGACTTTCCTACTGGCATGGAATTAAAGTTTATATTTTTAGAGGGAAGAACTGGTAAGTATGAATATATATACACATGTATACTAATATGCATGTTATCATATACATAATATCTAGGAACAAATACATAATTTAGCTGTCGGTATGTGTCAGTACATGCAGTAATCACTCATCTATCCAACCATTTTTCTGTCCATCCTCTGGTTTGTAACCTGCTGGTCTCCACCTTGTCTTTATGGACACCTAAGTTCCTTTGAAAATCTATTTCAGCTGTTGACTGACTGCCTTTCCTATTTCTTGATGGTAACTGATGAGATTTAGTCATAATAGAATAAATAATTCTCTAAGGATTTGGTTTCAAATCAGGCAACATAGGAAACTCTGTAGTGTTGCTGAAAATCAAACCTTTTGCTTGTTGAATATGTAACTGACCTCCATTGTCAATGCAGTATAAATTAATTTATATCACAATGCTATTTCTTGTAGCATGGTCAACTGAAATCTCTAAAAACCCCTTTGTAGTATACACCATAGAAAGATACTAAATTAAAGATATGTATTTCTAAAGGAACAGTTGTGCTAGTAAGGAATATTTCTATGCCAAAAATTAGGAGGAAACTTCCAGAGAGTGAACAGTGTGAACTCCAGCCGGGCGCCACCTTGTGGCAAGCCCTGATTTCGGGGGTGAGGGCGGCCGTTTGAAGTCTAGGTCCTGTCCAGGCTGGAGAGGGCAGTGACACAATCCCATACAAAGCTGTAAAGTGAGGTGCTCTCGCTTGTGAGGGCCTTGGCAGGAGCCCTGCCTTTTTGGCTCTTGCTCAAGGTAAAGGAGGAAATGTTGCCTATCTTTATCCAAGTTGGAGCCACTCAGTAGTCGCTCTTACTACATGGTATGTGGAGTCTGAAGCCTGCCACATTGTCTGGGTTAAGTTTGTGTGGACAGTAGTAGACACTGGGCTGAAATGAGCTGGGACCCTCTTAGGGGCTCAGATAATGCTTCACAGAGCTAGCAAGAAAAAAAAAGCAGAAACCTCATGGAAACGACCTGCCACAACAGAGAAAATTCACATCCAAACCTGGAAACTTTTAAAAAATTTGAAATGATCAGGCAAAGAATACAAATATGCTTTCTGTGATATAACAAACGAATAAGAAACAAGACTGTCAGAAACTTCCAGAGATATTAAACACGCGCAAGAAATGTTAGAATTCATCATTACAAATATTGGCACCAATATTATTATAAATAGGCTAAGTAGCAAATAAGCCCTAGGTAAAAAGTAAAATCAAAACTTACATCTGAAACTTGACCTGGAATAGATATCCAAAGTGCAGCCAGAAAAGAAATGGATTTACAATATAACATAGAGATAACAAAACATGAACATTTGAAGTTTCAAATGTTAGATTTACAGAAGGAAACAATAGAGAAAATGTTTGAAAGATATTATTTAAAGAAGTAATGAAGTAGAACTTTGCATAATTTTCAAGAATCCCAATGAGTTCTAAGTAGCATAAGTAAAACAAAAGCCACATCTGAATAAATCACACTGAAAGTATGGATTGTCAAAGTCAAATACAAACGCAAATCAGCCAGCATGACGAAAACTCATTACCTACATAGAATGACAGTCCAACCGGTAGTTAATTAATCACCACGGTAAGACAGATGACAAAGGAACAGTATCTTCAGAGTATTGAGAGAAAATAAATTTTAAGCTAAATTATATTTGAGAAAAAAATCTGCTAAAAATGAAATATATGGCCAACAATAAAAAGATATTTTCAGGCAAGTAGAAACTAAGGAATATACTACCATCTACACCTTACTTGATTACCTTTTATTCTCAAAAGTTAAAATGTTGTACAAGGGAGTTGCCGTTTAACCAGTCTGTTCACGTGTCCAGTGCTTCCTGACCATCTCCCCTTTTCTCCTTCCCCCAGACTTCAATCACACAATTTAGAAGTAAAGGGAATGGGGGCTGGAAAGGTGGCTCAGTGGTAGAGTGCTTGCCTAGCATGCATGAGGCCCTGGGCTAGATGCCTCAGCACCACATAAACAGAAAAAAAAGCCTGAAGTGGCGCTGTGGCTCAAGTGGTAGAGCGCTAGCCTTGAGCCAAAGAAGCCTAGAGACAGTGTCCAGGCCCTGAGTTCAAGCCTCATGACAGGCAAAAAAGAAAGAAGAAAGAAAGAAAGGGAATGATCCTAGGAGGAAAGCCTGAAAATTAAGAAGGAACAATTGAGAGCAGGTGGCACATCTAAATAAAATATAGTAATGCATGTTAGATTCAATTCATGAGAATATTTGTAAAGATAAAAGTCACTAGATACCTATAGCATGTGAGAACATGAATGCATTCAATAATCTTTTAAAAACACTTTTTACCAAAGGCAGAAGTGACTACAGTGAAACCTTTTTGGGAGCTGTGCATGCTCCTGGCCATCCTCGGGGCCAAAACGGCAAAGGCACCTGTCCACCGCAGGGGGCGGGCGGGGCGGGGGCGTGCATGAGTGCAGCGGTTAGGAAGGAACTGATCCCATGAATGTGCACAGACAAGGGCAGAGGCTGCACGTCGCCTCCCAGCGGTGAGCTGAGCTCCTCAGCAGCACGCCGAGGCCCTGTGGGCTCCCCACCCTCACAGGGCTGGCTAAGAGCCAGCGCCCCACCTTCACCCAGGCGGAGCACAGACCGGAGCCCCCAGAGGAAGGACTGCTGAAGGAAAGTTCTCCTATGTGTCCACCTCTAGTTCCTCGGCTTTCTGCCCAGATAAGTTGGGGGTGTTTCCCTCTGGACTAGCCCAGCAATAAAGACTGCTTCTCCCTAAAGGCCTTCTTCATCCAGTGCTGGGGCTCCAGCCAGGCCTGTTTGGCCCTAGTTAGGTCTGGGTCCCCATGGACCAGCGCCTCTGTCCTTCAGCAGTGTTCTAGTTCTATCATGCATGGCCCTGGGCTGCACCGTGTTCTGTTTCTATCATGTATGGCCCTGGGCTGCCTCCCGTG